GCCAGCTTCTCCCATTCTACCTCTCCACACCTTTCTCTCTTCTCCCCTTCCTCCTCTCCAGCCAGTCTTTCTCCCCTCCTCCACAACTCTTCTCCCTTCTCCCCTCTCCTCCACAGCTCCTTTCCTCTTCTCTTAGTCCCCTTCTCCTTCTCCCCTCCTCCTTCACCAAACTCCTTTCTCGCCCTCCTTGCTCCCCTCCCTCCTTCTTCACCAGCCTTCTCCTCTCTTCTCCACAGCCTTCTCTTCCTCTCTCCACACCTTCTCCTTCTCCCCTCTCCTTCTCCACAGCTTCCCCCCCCCCCTGGCCCCCTCTCCCTCCTCCTTCCCACCACCTTCTTCCTTCTCCCTTCCTCCTTCTCCCAGCTTTCTCCCCTCCTCCTTCTCACGACCTCTCCTTCTCCCCTTCTTCATTCTTCCACCAGCTCTCCCCTCCTCCTTCTCTCACCAGCTTCTCCCCTCCTCCTTCTCCACCACCTTTTCCGCTTCTCCCCGCTCTCCTTCTCCACCAGCCTTCTCCCTCCTTCTCCACGAGCTTTCTCCCCTCTACCGCCACCTTCCTCCCCTCACTCCTTTCTTCCACCAGCTTCTCCCTCCTCTTTCTCCGCCACCTCCCTTCTCCCCTTCCTCCTTGCTCCACCAGCTTCTCCTCCTCCTTCTTGTCACCACCTTCTTCCTTCTCCTCCCTTCCTCCTCTTTACCATCTTCTCCCCCTCCTCTATCGTCCACCAGCTTCTCCCTTCTCCTTTCCTCTTCCCACAGCCTTCTCCCCCTCCTCACTTTCATCCCCAGCTTCTCCTCTCCTTCTTCACCACCTTCTTCCTTCTCCCCTTCCTCATTCATCCACAGCTTCTCCCCCTCCTCCTTCTCCGACCAGCTTCTCTCCTCCTCCTTCTCACCACCTCACCATGCTCCTCCTCCTGTACCGGCCCTTGGAATATAGACAACCCGTTTCGAGTTTCCTAAAATTCCCGCCAGTCCACATACCTAGACTGGGTACTCGCTCCATCTTGATTACTCGCATGTAACTAGCCCATCGAGTAACTAAGCCGAGAGGTGGCGACCGTGGTACCTAAGTCTATACACATCCATGCACGCACGCACCCCATGTCATGCATTATTTTTTTCATTTTGCTATCTTTATCCATTTAAAGCTATTTTTTCCGCAATATAATAATAATAATAACGCAAATATTTACAATGATTTATTGATAGAACTTTGATTTCGTAACGAAATCACTTGTGACTTTGATTTCGTTACGAAAATCAGTCATGCCGCACTTGAGCGCCCTTACGCCAAGTGTAGCCATGATTTCGCTAACGGAAATCACTTTCGGCTAGACTTGTGATTTCGCTAACGAAATCGACTTTGTAGGACTTAATTTTCGTTACGAATATAATGATTTCAGTACGAAAATCAGCCATCGCGACACTTGGCGCCCTTACGCAAGTGTAGCATGATTTCGTAACGAAATCACTCGATTGTGAGTAGCTGATTTCGGTCACGAAATCCTCGCAGTAGTTGATTTCGTAACGGCAAATCACTTTGTAGACTCTGATTTCGTTACGAAATCAATGATTTAGTAACGAATCAAAACATGCATCACTGAGCGCCCTTTACGCCAAGATGTTAGCATGATTTCGTAAACGAAATTCACTCGATTGTAGATAAGCTGATTCTTCCCCCCTCCTCACGGAATCCTCGCAAGTAGTTGATTTGCGCTAACGGAATCACTTTGTAGTTTGATTTCAGCTAACGAAATCACTTGCTAGACTTTGATTTCGCTACGAATAATCACTTTGTAGACTGTTTCTGATTACGAAATCAATGATTTAGTAACGAAATCAGCCATGCGACACTTGGCGCCCTTACGCCAAGTGTAGCATGATTTCGTTACTAAATCATTGATTTCGTAACGAAATCAAGTCTACAAAGTGATATTTCGTTACAAAATCAAGTCTACAGTGATTTCGTTACGAAATCAACTACTGCGAGTGATTTCGTGACGAAATCAGCTACTACAATCGAGTGATTTCGTTACGAAATCATGCTACACTTGGCGTAAGGGCGCCAAGTGTCGCATGGCTGATTTCGTTACTAAATCATTGATTTTGCAACGAAATCAAATCTACGAAGGGATTTCGTTACGAAATCAAGTCTACAAAGTGATTTCGTTACGAAATCAACTACTGCGAGTGATTTCGTGACGAAATCAGCTACTACAATCGAGTGATTTCGTTACGAAATCATGCTACACTTGGCGCGCCGGCGCGCCAAGTGTCGCATGACTTGATTTCGTTACGAAATCAAGTCTACAAAGTGATTTCGTTACGAAATCAAGTCTACAAAGTGATTTCGTTACGAAATCAACTACTGCGAGTGATTTCGTGACGAAATCAGCTACTGCAATCGAGTGATTTCGTTACGAAATCATGCTACACTTGGCGACATTGTAGTTTTCGGCAATTACACTCGACGCATGATTTGATGTAGTGGTAAGCGTCGGCGAACATGCGGGGCCAGAAGTATCGCTGTGTGAGTTTGCTATAGACTTTCTTGAAACCCAGGTATCCTCCATATGCATGATCGTGGAACAAAGGAAGCACAGCGGGTACGAGCATACGGGGGATGACCAATTGTGGTGCAGTCTCGGCATCCTGCGCACGTGACGGCACATGAAAGAGCAAGTTGTCAACCAAAAGATAGCTTTCAACGAGCTTAGCCTCACGTATGGAAGTTTCGTCAGGGTTGGAGAGTGTGCGTATGATGTTTCCAAGAAGCGGATCAGCCAGCTGCAAGGCGGCGAGCTCGGTGTCAGTAGCAGGGATGGTGGGATGGGGTGTCAGTTTAGGGTCCGGTAGCGCATCAAGGTGAGGAGGGTTGTGATGGAGCGTAATGGGGCCTACCCGTCGTGCAGGTTGTGAGGCCACACCGGTAGGCGAAGGCGGTACCACTTGGTAAATAGGTCGTGAGGCCATACCACTGTGCATCGATGATGTGGTGATCATGATTGATGAATGATGGGGTGTCGTCGGCGTAGACGACTCGGGAGGCAAATGAGAAAGTGCATCCGCTTGCACGTTCGACTTGCCCGTTGTGTACTCTAGCCGGCATGAAGGGAAGCCAGAGATGTACACGGCCCACCGCTGGAGTTTGGCATTGCGCAGTGCCTTTGCTTCCAGTAAATACTTAAGTGGTTTATGATCGCTAAGTATGACAAAATCGGCACCGATAAGGAGGTTCCGGAATTTCTGTAATGCGTGTACCAATGCAAAACAATTCCCTCTCTATTGTAGGCCAGCGTTGTTCTGTCTCAGTCAGCTGTCTGCTGAGATGAAACACTGGGTGTTCTTGCTCTTGCTTGTTTATCTGCGTGAGAACTGCTCCGACGGCGTAGCCGGATGCGTCGCAATAGAGGCGGAATGGTCGACTTCCATCAGGCAATGCCAAAATGGGAGCTTCTGTGAGACACTTACGAAGAGACTGAAACGCAGTCTGTGCCTCGTCTGCCCACACAAAGGGTGTGTTCTTGTGGGTGAGTAGGGTCAGTGGGTGGGCAATATCGGCATAGCCCTTGATAAACTTACGGTAGTAATTGGTGAATCCTAAAAACTGCCGAACAGCTGTGGGCGTGTTTGGGGGGCCCAATTTTGCACCGCAGAGATCTTCTCTGGGTCGGGTCTGACGCAACCTGGGGTTATGACGTGACCCAAGTAATTGATGGACTGGCGTAGAAACGCACATTTACTGGGGCGCATCTTGAGGTTAGCTGCGTCGAATCTGGCAAAAACCTCTGCCAAGTCGGACATGTGGGTTTCAAATTCCGTTGAATAAATACAGACGTCGTCAATGTAGGCGAGTGCGCATTTGTGACGAAGTCCTTGCAAGACGTAATCGAGGATACGTTGAAAGTGGGCGGGTTCGTTCTTTGGTCCATATGGGGTCCTTAAATAGTTGTAGCTTCCGGAGGGCGTCACAAAACAAGTCTTCGGAACGTCTTTCTCCGCTAGGGGGATTTGATGGTAACCACTTTTAAGGTCGAGGGTAGTAAATATTGTAGCTTTTCCTATTGTTTGTAGCACATCTTCGATGAGGGGCAGAGGGTAAGTGTCCCCTAC